GCCGGCACCATGGACACAGGGGCCCTCCGCCTCATGGTCTTGAATTTCAGGAAAGGAATTTAATAAAACAATAGGACAGACTGCTGATCTGGTGCAGGGTGTGACCAGACAAGTATATGGACAAGCCGCCCATTTACACACAACCAGCCCTTTTTATCCCCTTATCCCTCTATTTTCCTCCTCAAATCACCTAAATCCCTCCTTTTTCCCACCTTTGGTTCCTCCCCTACATCCCGTCATAAGTCCTGTGCAATCCCAAAAGGCTCTTCCCCTGCACACCATATGATGTCCCCCCTCCCTTAACAGCAATCTGCCTTAGTCCAGACGGCGATCCAGAGAGCTGCTCCCACCAACACATCTCGATGGGTCTCACAGCAGGACCGTGGGGCTGACGGATCCACTGGGACCATCCTGGGAGGGACCTGGACAAAATACTCATTCTTTGGAAGTCCTTAATTTGGGTTCCCACCTGCCAATATGCCCTGGTGCTCCCCTGCGCTTGCACAGATGGGCTTTTCATGGGCTGGTGGCCCCCATGATGGGACTGGGAGTAGCCTGGCAGGGTACTGTTTGTCTCTCTGTGCTCCTTTGTGGGTGTGCAGATGAGCTTTTATCATATAACCCAACACCGCAATAACCGGCGAGGCAGAGCAGCGATACATGTGAAGGAGGTAAAGAGAAAAGCCATGATAACCATTAAGCAAACAGTATCGTATCAGTGTTTGCACCACACAGATCTGATAATCATGGGATCAGGTGGTTTATTTCACAGATAACAACAGAACAAACAACACAACAAGGTCTTCCCAAATTAAAAGCGTAGCCGGTATCTGAATCGAACGTCATGAACAGGCTGCATCGTCCCGAATCCCCAGCGGCTGACGTCTACCGCTGGGATCTCCTCTTCTCCGTTGACTAGCTCCAGGTCATAGTGACTTAGCATCAAGAACACAAACAATTTAATTTCAGCAGTAGCGAAGAACCGCCCGGGACAGATGGATACTCCTGCCCCCCAAGGCATGTTGAAGTATTTCAGCCTCTTCCCATTTTTGTAGAAATCTTTCTTGGTGCCATCTGGGTTTACGAAGCGGTCGTACTTAAATTTGTGAGGCTCAGGGTGAATTTCTGGGTTCATCTGCACAGAGAGGTGCGGGAACAGAGCCACCCTGTCTCCTTTGCGGAGAGTGTACTCTGTCCCACTGGTCATCTTCAGGCTGGTGTCCTGGAGGACAGCTCTGATCAGTATTGGGGCTGCAACCAGCCTCAGGGTCTCCTCCAGAGCACTGTCCAGAAAAGGAGTCTGGTTTAACATGTCCCTAGTGATGTTAATCGGTGGGCTCCCTGGCTTCACTTCCTGGCCGTTCTCCCTTGAGACTTTATCTACCTCATCCTTCACAGCCTTCATAGCTTCTGGATGTTTCATTAGATAAAAGAGGAGCCAGAAGGCAGTTGGGCCCGTATTGCCTTGGGATGCCCAGAGAAGCATAAACATGAAACGGTCCCGCATGTACTCAGGGACACCATTTTCTGCCAGAAGTTGGTCTTGATCTCTTATCCACCCACTGATATTGTCCTTCTGCCAGGCCTTCTTCACAGACAGCATGCTCCAGAAGAGCCTCTTCAGCTGTTCAGCTTCTATTTTGTCCTTGGGAGACAACGCAGAATAGGCAAGGCGAGGGAAGAGGCTGTCGTACTTCCGAAACTCATGGAACAGCTGGTTGGAGTGGATGCGATCTTGCTCATTAGCTTTCTCCTTGTTATCTGCCCCTTGGCGTGGCTCAGTGCCATACAGAGCCAGGTACCCAGCTCTGAAGACAATGTTGTAGCAGTAGTGGAAGAGGCTATCCTCTTGCCACACTCGCTTCTCCTCTCCTGAGCTCAGATTGAAAAGCATCAGCTTCTGAAAGTTCTCCATGGTGGCTTGTGTCATGACAGTGAGTCCGTCTCCCATCAGATGCTTCGTGCTCAATGCATGAATTATGCTATGGTTGGCTTCGATGGGCTTGTATCCAAAAACCTGCAGGACCAGTTTAGATGCAAAAGTCCTAAAGTCTAGTTTAGATCGTGATTCCTTCACGATGGCTCCAAAGCAGAAGGGGTCCATCACAAAGGTGAAGTAATAGCCTCCGATCAGCACCGTGAAAATATCCCCGTGTTTTCTCTGCATCCTTTTTAGAAACTCCGAACTGTCCTTTCTGAAATCTAGCAAGTAACCCATCCAGGGAATGGTACCTTTGTCCAGAGGCGGCTCATCAGGTCTCCATCTCCGAAACACACCCAGGAGGTAGAACCCGCCAAGCAGCAATGCTGTCAAGGTACAGAGGAGAATCACCCAGAGCACCATGAGAGCTCTGCGCCCGTCCGGGAGCTTGGACTGGAGCTAGGGCTGGGGCAGGAGAGTGCTTTTTATTCCCATCCAGCAGCTGATATGCAGATGTACAGCTGACAACCTCTGTCCGCATTGGCAGCAAGTGTTTGCCTTTTCCCTGTGGAGTGCTCCAGTGTGTACGTCTCCCTTGACGAGCAGACAGAGATTTTTAAGGTGGAAGGTATCTTATAACCAAGTTGGAGTTACAGGGCTGCTGTGTTAGGCAGATGGGTTTTGGTGTGTGCTCCGCAGCAGCTTAAGCAAATTCCCTTTTCTAGACTGCATGGAGCAGTTTTTAAAAAGAAGGTTGAGAGCATTTCACTGAGTGATTTCTGCCTTTAATACCAGGCTATGGACGTGTGCTGCAGGCTGAAAAAAGAGAGGACAACTGGATGTTGGAAATGCTACTGGAAATGAGCTCAGGACTCCAGGAGGGGGTTATAGCTGAGTTAATGTGGTGTCAAAATCCAAGAGGAGGAAAAGTCTCCAATATTTCGGTGTTCTCTAATGCACAGTGCACCATAAACGTGTTGCCAATGAGCGGTGCAAGCACTGCTAACCTGTACGAGGGCAAAGCAGAGCAGGTCCGCTTTCCTCATGGGTGATGAGGGCTTGAATCAGTTGCATTTGCTTTGCATCAAGATGAGTCCAACATCCGCGTGTGGCCAAGTCCACCTCCTGGCTGGAGAGCAGCGGGGCCCAGACAGATGACAGCACTTTCTTCTGTGCACATGCACACCCGATGCTTGGTGGTTGCAAATCAGTCATGTCCCCTCCAGCCAGCAGAGAACCCCCGGCCCTCCACCCTCCTGCTCCCACCCCTGGGGCTGGTATTTTTCCCCATTTTTCCTTTCTGCTTCTTGATCTTTCCTGCTCCCCACTCCCCGGATGGGGCTCGGGGATGATGCCAGGGACCCCGTGCCCCATCTGGCACTATGCCTCTGGGTGCTGCCACCCCGATCCTCGCAGCCAGGCACTGCAGCCTCTGCCCCAGCCGCTGGCGCTTGGACCTCGCAGCACCCTCACACAGGATCGAGTGACATTATACAGAAAGCGAGTTAAAGTATTTAATAAGGCAATAGGACAGACTGCCGTGAGCAGGCGCAGGGCACACAACCAGCCCCTTTTATATCCAACCCTATTTCTCCCACCTTTGTCCTTCCCCTGAGCATCCCGTCATAAGTTTTGCATAGTCCCACGAGCCCTCCTCTGTATGGGATCACAATCTTCATCTTAGTTTTTGCTTCCCAGCTGCTCTCCCCTTCCACATTCCCTCCCAGTGACCTCACCCGTGGATCAAGGACACATGATAGCATCACATAAATATTTATTCTGGCATTTATTTTTTTAAGGAAAGCTCCCAGCTTTACCATTTTGGAAACACGCTGTAGCAATGCTGGCAAGAAAAATAATGGTAGTGAAAACAAATTCACCTTTCTAGATCAACTCAAAACCCTTCTCGGTCCTACCAGTAACCTTGTCTAGCAACCAAATTAAGGTGATGAGTGTTTTCTCATAAAATATTAATTTTATTTGTGCAGTTCTAGGCAACTCCCATGCTCAATAGGTTTCCAGGCTGGAAAGGGCCCGTTTAAGGTTCAAGAGTATTTGGGGTGAATAGTACCTTTAAATAAAGGTCAGCAAACTAACAGCCTTGAACTTTAAAGCTACACTGGGTAATAAGGATTGGCTAACAGCTATCCAAGCTGTTCTGGTCAAGGCCATGCTTTCACTCTGTGGTGTTGCAAAGCCAATATTTATGTTAAAGACGGTATCCATGGATCTTTTTTATCTTGTCACAATGGATCTTTGGGAAAGCAAACACCTCCACCACTGTTCTGCTGAGCCCATTTTTTTTCTCCATCTCACTCATTGTTACTGGTTTGAACTTTATCGCTGATTGAACTGGCCTCAAATCAGTCGATGATTGAAGTGATCTCTAACCAAGGATCAGTCCCTTGGAAAGACACAGTTTCCTGCTCAGCAGACACAAGTGTGGCACAGCTCATCATAACGGCGAAACCCATCACTGGTCAGAGAGCCCAGTTTAAAGGTGCCTAATTCCTCCCATTGTCTCTCCTGGTAAACAAAGGGATGAGCCTTGTTGAACACATCTACCTGGCAGATGGCAAAAGCCAGGAGAAGCGAAGCCACTCCCCAGGCTGGGCTTCTGGTCACCCGTGTCTGGCTTGATGCTTGAGTGTGGCAAATCCATTCCCCAGCCCACACCACAAGCTGGAGGGATAATGGGATCGCTCTCCTCCATTAGACCTTTTGGGATCTATGGGGGACAAGTTCTGCACCAGTTTCAGTTTGCATTTTTAAGGGCACAACGTCTAGATAAGTTGCTCCTTCATCTACTAATACCTCACATGCTCCAGACAGGAGCTGGGCTTCTTCCACAAGCATAAACCCAGGGCAATCCTTTTATAATAATTCCACTTATAACAGAAACAAATCCCACATGTACTTTTCCAATGTCAGTGTCAAAAATCCTCATCTCGATGCTGGGGCTAGGATGAAATATCTGGTTACACAGTGCTGTGGTCTCACACCAACTCCATTGCATGGCCAGGACCAGTAAAATACAGTACAGAGGGCATACACGTAACATAAATAATGTAAATATTTATCATGCGTTTGTGATACTCAACATTTCTATATCAGCTGTGTATCTGTTGCAAGACTGGCTTGTCTCTGAGGACTGGATGTCAAAGAAAGCGCTTCTCCTGCAAATGGCCTCAGGGATCTTCCATAAATATAACCTGAATCTTTTTTTCACAAAAGCATAGAGCAAGGGGTTGAGACAGCAGTGGAGAAAGGACAAACTCTCTGTGATCTGCATGGCGTAGTCCAATTGCCTACTGCTTTCACAGTTCCTGATCACACCAACATCTTGCAGGGAGTGAAGAATGAGGACAATGTTGTAAGGCAACCACAGGACAAAGAAGACACCCACCAGAGTAAAGACTAAGCAGAGTGCTCTCCTTGAGCCAGGCATCTGAGATGTGGTGAGGACACGTGCTATGCGGGAATAGCAGAACACCATGAAGAGGAAGGGAAAAAGGAAACCCAGGAGGTTTTGAATGACCCGAAAGACAATTTTCCAAAATAAGTGTTTCTGGCCATAATCATGGGCACACATGATGGTTTTGTTGTGCATTTGCCTTGTGGTGGTGAAGAGGCCGTCAGGAATGGACAGAAGTATGGAAAGGACCCACACCACCAATAAGACGAGGATGGACTTCCCCCACGTCATGGAGCTGTGAGGAGAGCAAGCATGAACTATCTGCAGATACATGTCCAGACTCATGCAGCTCACCAAAAAGATACCACTGTAGAAATTCATAGTGTACATGGCATTTAAGACCGGGCACAATATGTCCCAGGTTACCCCCTGAGAAATGTACAGAGCCCAAAAAGGAAGGGTTAGTAGCAAGAAGAAGTCTGAAACCGCCAGGTGCAGCAGATACACCTCAGTCATCTTCTTTTTCTTCTTGATGTACATAATGAGGACAATAAACAGGAGGACATTCCCAGCCAACCCAAGCAGGAAGACCACTGTGTAGAAAGATGGCAAGAACACACTGCTAAAGGAAAGTACCTCTTCTTTTGTGCAGAGGCCATAGTGCATGTAATCTTCCTCGTCCAAGTACTCATACGGGTAGTCACTCGAATTGGCAGTGTCCAGCAAGGTGGCAGTGGTTGTTGTTGCCACCTTTGAAGTTGCGTTTGACAAGTGGCTGCCTGGAGCAAAAGACAAGCGAAGGGGATCAAAATGTTGTTCTAATCCACTCAAGACAAACATGACATCACAGAGGGTTTTCCTCTAGTTCATAGGTTTAAATTTCTGCCACCTTCTGATAAGTATTTTGTGTCCTGCACTCCTTGGCCTTTGCCTACGGCATGGGGACAGATGTCTACACATACATCCAAAAAAGCATTCTGGTTTCCTTACTCCAACACATTAAAACTCGAAAGTAAATGAGCACAGTCTCCTCTGACATAACTCAACACTTCCTGCTGTCACTTCTGCAAGCTTTGAAGAAGTTTCTGCTCTAAATTATGGGAAATCCATCACCACACCTCACTGTCAGCTGCTTTAGATTCACCCGGGTCAGTACCCCGAAAGCCACATCTCAATTCTCAGTGAAGCAGAACCTGTTACCAGCACCTTTGTGTTAGTGGGGCTGCTCCCAGAGGTGAAATGCTGGACATCTCACTGTTCCTGATAGGAGACTGACCCCTCTCCATGCCAATTCTAGGACACAAAGCCATGGATTCTTGTAAAAGATATTAGTAAGTGGAAAATATAGAATCATAGAATGATAAAATGGTTTGGGTTGGAAGGGACCTTGAAAGATCACTTAGTTCCAACCCCCTCCCATGGGCAGGGTACCTTCCACTGGACCAGATTGCTCAAAGCCTCATCCAAAGTAAGGACGTGTAGGCACCAGAATCAACTCCTGAATCAAGGTTAGAGGTAGAGGTTAGATTTAGCTGGAAGGATGTTCATAGAATAGAATCATAGAATCATAGAATCATCTAGGTT